CTTTAACTACTTAAGTATTTATTTCCTCATGAGTTGAAGATGAGAGAAGATAAGTTTCTGTTTTTTTGTTTATATGGTAGATGAGTTTATTGTTTAAAATTACTTTTGTAGTTACTGGCTTGGACTTCCGCTACATGCCTGAGTGAGGACAAGATATAGGCTGTGTGTAAATGGCCAGTAATGATGGGATTGGTCAGTATTTTCATCCCACCAGGAATGAAAAATTGAACAGGGTTAGCACCAGATGATGAGAATCTCAGTACCAGGAAAGAAGAAGAGAATGCAGTGCTCATCCTTCAGGGCTGGAGATTGCTGCCGCAGCCAGACAGAGGACAACAACCACACTGAAGAACCAGAGACCAATGTGGGGCATAGCTGACTTGAGCCTGTGAGCCCAAGGAGCCAGATCACAGCCTTTGCACAAACTTGCTGGAGGCTTTGTGGGTAGGAGAGATTATATAATTGGCAGAACAAGGAGAACTTTCTAACACTGGCCTAAGCCTTTAACCCCGAAAGCCAAAGTGTCTGTGAGCCACTTGGGAAGTTTTCCTGACAGAGGAATTTTATACTTCTGCCAACCTGTTGTAACCTGTTGTTAAGTGCTGTCAGTTGCAGGTGACTCATAGCAACCCTATGAAGGAGAGTCCTCAACGCTTGTGTGTCTTTCTTCCTCTCTCCAGGTTCATAGGGCTTCCGGAGGCAAGCTATTATGGAAGTGGATGCCACTCCTCTGTCCAATGTTACCTAATAAGTTCCCTAATAAACCCTGTAACCATGAGTATGGTTATGTGAGGTCGGTGTAGCTAATTGCAATGAATTTAGGACCCAGTACTAGGGTGGTTCACTATGAGTCGCAAGCGACTCGATGGCACATAACAACAACACTAGAGTGGTTCAATAATAATGACATCTGTTGGATCACTTATTTTGGGGAATGAGAACAATATAATTCATATCACATGCAAGCAAAATCTTTCTGATAGATATGTAAAAACAGATGGAAGAGTATATCAACAAAGAATTGACAGAAATTCAAGCTGGATTCAGAAGAGGCTGTGGTCCAAGGGATATCATTGCTGATGTCAAGAATCTTGGCTAAAAGCAGAGAATACCATAAAGATAGTTATTTAGGGGGTATAGCTCAGTGGTAAAGCATTTGATAAATATACTTATTTGTATTTTATCAATTATATAAAGTCATTTGATGGTGTGGATTTTAACAAACTATGGTTAACATTGAGAATGATGAGAATCTCAAACAATTGTGTTCATGAGGAACTTATACATAGAACAAGAAGTAATTGTCCAGAAGGGAACAATGTATAGTTTAAAATCAGGAAATGTTTTTTAGGACTATATCCTTTCTACAGACCTATTCAATCTTTCTGGTGAGCAAATTACTGGAGAAGCTAGACTAAATGAAGAAGAATTTGGCATCAGGATTGGAGAGGGCTCATAAACACCCAGCAATACACAAATGACACAAGCTTGCTTGCAGAAAGTGAAGAAGACTTGAAGCACTTATTGTAGAAGTTCAAGGAGAACAACCTTCAATATGGATTACATCTCAAGATTAAGAAAACAAAAATCTTCAGCACTGGACCAGTAGGTAACATCATAATAAATGGAGAAAAGATTGGAGTTGTCAGTGATTTCATTTTACTTGGATCTGCAATAAATACCCAAAGTGACAGCAGTCAAGAAATTAAAAAAAAAAAGTTGCATTGGAAAAATTTGCTGTCAAGGAGCTCTCTAAAGATCTAAAGAGCAAAGACTAAGTTTAAAGACTAAGATGTACCAGATTCAAGTCAAGGTTTATTCAATTGCTTTCCATGTATCCAAAAGTTCTTGTGAATAAGTATGACAAAAGAATAATTGATTTCTTTGAATTGTGGTGCTGGCAGAGAGTACTGAATAGGCCATATCCTGCCCAAAGAAAAAAACGTATCTGCCTTGAAGGAAGTACAACTATAGTTCTCATCGAAAGCATGTATGGTGAAACTTCATCTCACTCACTTTGAGCATATTTTCAAAAGGAACCATCCTTGCAGAGAGACATAAAGGTGCGAAAGGTAGAGGGCCGATGAAAGAGAAGAAAGTCTTTCACAAGACAGATTACAGAGTGTCTACCACAGTGGGACAGCGATCATGAGGACGGCACAGGATAGGGCAAGGTTCAGATCTGTTATTCCCAGGGTTGCTAAGAGTCATAGTCTACTTGATGCACCTAAGAATAGCAATAGCAGTGGATGGGTGAGAGCTGTGGGCTGGTGTTTAAATAACTAGAAGTAGTTATGGGAGTGTGGAGATCATACCTGACATCACAGGATTAGATTTTGAAGCTTGAATGTTGTTGAACGGAGAAGTTCTTCCTTGTGGGATTAATGGAGGTCAGAAGTGGTTGTCCGCATGCTACCCACACTCTTTTCATAGTTTATTTTTTAGTTTTGTGCCTTCTAGAAAATACACTTAACACTTTGGACTTGAAATCTTATGAGTCTTGCATGCTTTTACATTCTTTTGTGCTCATATCATTTGTATTTGGTAAAAAGAAAAAAAATGTAAAAATCTATAGGGAAGGTGAATCCTAATGATTGACCAAAGTTTCACCTCAAAGCTGGCCTTGGTTTTCTTTATCTGTGATAATTAAATCCTTAACTGAAAATGAGTGTTGATATTTCCACTTTTCAAGATCAAATAAAAATTATGGAATGAGGGGGAATACAGGTTTTGCTATGTTTGAAAATATTAAAAGTAATAATTGTTCACCAGATGCCCCATTGCCAGTTGGATCCAATCTGATGGTACCCAACAAGAAAACAAACAAATAAATAAATAAATTTTGGAAAAAAACAAATGATTGTTTTGTAACTATAAGAATGTTTTACGGAATTGAGTTTTTAGTAGATAACTTGGAGATTTCAGTCATTACATAAATTATATTGGGGGTTCTTGAGCAGACACTTTCAATGTTCCATTCTTATGTCCTCGAACCTCTTTGCCATCTTCCTGATTCTGGACCCTAGTCATCATCTGTATCTCCCAATCAGAGTACCATCATCAGTCAAGAGCCCAAAGAAGCTGAGAATTTCCATACACCTTCCTGCATACAGCTCTTAGCCCATGACAGTGGGTTCTGAAGTCCCTCTGGCCTCTTCAACCCCATCAATAAGGATAACTCTGAAGTGCAACCGGAATGTCCCCAGAACTTCCCTAAGGACTGAGACAAGTTATCTGCTGTAGGATCTGCTTCAGGTTGCACTTTCCCCAGTCACATCTCCCCAATTCCTCCCTCATCCTTCCTAGAAGCACTTCCTGTCAAGTTGATTTCATTTAAGCAATCATCTTAAGCTCTGCTCTGAGGGAAACCAGCTTTCTTGAAAAATAGAGAAAGATACACTTTTAGAAGTCATTTCTCACTTATACTCTTTCTTATTTTACTACTCTCTTCACTTGGTGCTGTGGTATATAGACTAAAAATTCATTTCTCACCACTATTTCTCCTCCTCCTTCTCCAGTACCAACTTGGCTGAAATAACAGAGATGCATTGTCTCTGTTTCATGTCCTCAGTCAAGATTGCACATTTGTTGCCAGCCAATCTACAAAATGGTCCCTAAGAATGCACTGTACCTAAACATTGGGATAAGATAAATATAGTAGTGGTTGTTGTTGTTGTTGAGTACTGTAGAGTTGAAATCAACCCATAGCTGACCCTCTGGCAGGCTGCCCATTCTTCTGGTATATGCAAATTGTGTGCTTTTGAGATTGCAGTGCAGAGTCTTACCATTAGGCCACTAGAGCTTCCTAGATGTATACTAAAATAATATATAAAAAATTTCTTTTTGGAGTTCAAGAGAACAATAAAACAAAACTTAGAGATAATTTGAGACATATAAGTTTTAAAGTAATGTAGAATTCCTATGCAACCAGTTGGTGTCTACTGACAGTTAACAGTGCAGTGCAGAATCCAGCAACTTGGCTTTCAGATCTTGGTTGCACAGGAATTGCACAACCCATGAACACATAAAAATTTACAGCAAGACCAAAAATAAGATACTATATAATTAAAATTTAAATGCTAACAGGGTTTGATAGCACTAAACTAGTTAATTTCAAAATTAAGCTTTA